GGACGCGCGTTTCCGCTTCGATTACACTTTTGTTTGCCGAGTCGCAACAAAGTATGTTCGTCGTCTCTCCGAAATGCCAAAAGCGGTACATCCAAAAATGTCGCATACGTGCCGTTCTCTCTCATGACGTGAGTTTCCTCGACCGGAATTTACTGTCGTTAAAGCCGTTTTCCGTCGAGTAGCGCGAGCGGAAGCGCTTTGAAGATAACTAGACGACAAACAGAGGAAAGCAAATAGCTACGTATCCTATTATGACTTACACCCTTGTGTCACAAATGCAAACATCGTTCATGAGAACCTTTTAACCCCCACCCCAACGTTTTTAGCCCTTTCCAGCTAATGGAAACAATCCGTTCGTAGCTCGGTAGTATGTGAAGAAAGCGAGTCTTTGTAATAGTCGTTTACATTACCGAAAATGAAAGTTGAAAGGGGGGGGTTTATTACTCCACTTTTTACCGAAAAGACGATAGTTGTTATCACAGATATAAATGCATTCTATTCTATTAGTATTCAGTGTCACACATAAATTTACCACCACTAGATAAAAACTTAGATATTAGCATAATGGAGAATACCAGCGTTAGAATGTACGATTATTCCTTCTGATGATGTTATAGATTATCTGGGCGACTATACGTCGAACATTTGCATTCCACTTTCAGATAATTACGTATGACAATAGCAAGTAAGTGCCCTATTGAATTAGCAAACAATACTAACTATTTAGTTGTACTAATTTGTTATACGACGAGAGACACGATCTTATGAGATAGCGATCTCTTGATTTTTCAGTAGATTCAATTCTCAGGCAGACATTCAATTGAAGCTTTAATTGTTTGAAAAACGATCTGTTGTGTCAAGTTGAAGTTTAAGAAGCACTTTATTATTCGGGATAAATAATTTCGAGTAGATTTTCTTGATAATTTTGCGTAATATTTTATTGACTCATTATCAAACGCAGTGCGTTCGCACCGTATACTGCAGTTTTTAAAATCCTTTGGCTTAGATACGTTTATATAGAGACTAATATAATTTTTTTGCTGCACCTAGATCAGAGATATGTTAAACGCAGGTACAGGATGGTGGAACATTACGGAGGGACATTAAACACGATGAAAATGCGCACAGCAAAATACAATGCATGTGATACTTGATACGAAATTACGGTGCGCTCTTTTCGTATCGCTGTTTGTACTTTAATAAAAAAATTTTAGTTTAATTTTGAAATACGTCCTTTATATAATTAAATTGTTACTCTCGACGAGATAAGTATTTCGAATGTATAATCGGTTGCATGTGTGTGTGCGTATGGATGTAACGTTTATAAATGGATTTGTTTAACATACGCGTATAGTATATAATATTCAGAAATGTTTTAGACATTAATTAACAATGGGTAAATTGTTAATATTTATCAACGGTAATAAAGTTACTCTCGAGACATGAATTAAAATACGCCTACCTACAAATACGCAGGTGTTCTTTTTTACGTTATGACTTAACGGTGTCAAGTATATTAAAAAGAAAATGTATTTTATATTACAGTCAGAGTTTCTTTTATATGTCGTTTGAACGCGATTCCTTTAAGTACAAATGGTATCGGCAAAAACGGGCATATATTTTTTTCTCGGACAAAGGGAATCTCGCGTGGAAAATATTTCGCTATGGAAATTGTTCGCCGCGACGAATCGGATGTTGTGAGAGATACGTCTTTAGAAATGTAGCCGATGAATCGAACGAAGACCCGAAGGAACGATCGCGATGGCGATCACATAATATTCACGTGCGATCGTTATCGGATTTCGTCGTTCGCTCGTACTTTCTTCGAGAGGCTACGGAATGAAGAGTTTGCAGCTCTTCCTTTCTCGAATCGCGCCGCAAATCTACGTCTGCTATCTACATCTTCTTTACAGCATCCTCGACAGGGCCAGAAGCGCCAGTGACGCACCTAAATTCATCACCATGGGTGCCATCGCGGATCCGGCCGACAGGTCAAGTTTTCTCCTCAAATCCCCCGGCACATCCACGTAGACTTTATTTATTCCCACCTCTTTGATCAATTTCGATAGTTGCGCAGCGTCGACCGAATCGCCCTCCGATGACCAAATCGTCAGGGTCGCGTTGGTGAATGTCGTGTTTTTTAACAATGCCTTTATGGCGTTGATATCGTTCGCCGCAAGACCAGCTCGTACGGGATAAGTTACCGGCTGGGTGACATGGTTCTCTGTCAAAGTGTCGATCATATTCTTGATTTGCTCTGTGGAATATCGACCCTCGGTGATGTTGAACTCCTTTCCATATCTAAAATATAGAATTGTCGAATTTCAATCTCGTAAATCGTGCGACTGGGTAAAAAATAAAATGAATAAAATTTCTGATTTGCTTCATCAATATAATGGCCTGAAGAGAAAGAGAATTTTGTCGCGTTTGAAATCATTGTAAAATATTGCGTTTATAAAAGCACGAATCGAATTAAAATTTCACAACAGATGTATATGGTAATTATTTTTAAAGTTTATATAATATTTCCCTCATTGTCCATCTTCATTGAGCCTTCGAATGTCATAATATACATCTATAATATTGACGTACGTTCAATACACACGTATTCCATTGGAGCGCTAGTTGAATTATCTCTTGCCAAGGACTTTATATTTATAACTCCTTTTTTTTTATAAGAGATCTTGCGCTATGGAGGTCATAATATATATTTCTTTGCTTATACGGCTGATTAATTACAAGGTTGCATGTTAGAAACTGCTGTTAGTCTGATCA